ATGCCCGTTTCGTTACCAATGTCATGATTTAGATGTGTTAACAACGGCACCAAGTAAACACGGCAGCGTGTTTCTTGTAACATAAACGACGTAAAACACCACAACAGAATGTTTTTTTCGGGCACCCATACCTTCATGCATTGTGAATACTTACCTACTAAAGCATCTAATACAACATTATGCAGTACGATGTCAAGGTGACGAAATGCTAAGCTAAACAATGACATTGCAGCATAAACAGCGCTGTGTGATCCCGAATGTCGCGCCCTCTGTCACCATGCAAAACCAAAGTGGAGGCGCTGATGACTGAGTGGAGCTACACATCACCACCGAGTGAGGCTGTGTGTCGTCACCAAATGACGCTGGACCACGACGTGCTGCAGGTTTCTCCATCCTGGTGACGGCCTACAACATGCTCGGAGAGCCGGTGTCGTGTGCGTGCGCCCAGTGCGGCAGCAACTCGATCCCGCTGAACGTGATGAACTCGCACTGCTGGGTGACGGCCACCTACACCATCCCTTCCGACCTGGAGAGGGTCGGATTCAAACCCGGTACGTCATGTCTGTAGGCCACACAGAGGACAGGAGCGCATAGCGCGCAATGGGTTCACCGACTCCGAACTGTATAGACAGATCCTTGATATATAGGCTTGTGATTGGGAGCACACATCAGTCAGCTTTAGCTGATTTTATCGGATTTCGAAATCAAATTGGCTCAAACCTCCGATTTGCTCGCGTTTTCATCTGTGTCTATGATAAGACATGACTATGAGTGTCACCGACCGCCCATGACTTTTCAGTCCATTCCTCTCACGACAGTACCTATCTGATTTTCAACTCTTCCCCTCTCCTCGTGTTTGCCCAGGTTCAACTAACCTGGGCCCGGGCCGTCACGAGTACTCGGAGCGCGAGTACCAGACCTACTACCAGTGGGTGCCGTTCATGCTGGTGCTACACGGCGTGCTCTTCTACGTGCCGCACTGGCTATGGACGCTCAGCGAGGACGGCAGGATGGCGGCCATGGTGCAGGACATCCGGCTGCCCGTGCTCGACCGCGGCGTCCTCAAGGCGCGCGTCACCAACCTGGCCGTCTACATTCGCCAGACCATGGGCACCTACCAGGGCTACTTCATCCGCTTCGTCATCTGCGACGCCCTCAACGTCTTGAACGTGATCACGACCATCTACTGCATTGACAAGTTTCTAAACCACAAGTTCCTGGGTTACGGTAACGCGGTGGTCAGCTACCTGTCCGACGGAGGTCAGTTCAGCCCGTTCACCACCACTTTCCCGAAGCAGGCCAAGTGCGAGATGGAGTTTTTCGGTCCGACCGGGTCGCGGAGCAGCGTGGATGGACTGTGCGTGCTGGCTCTGAACGTGCTGAACGAGAAGGTGTACCTGGTGCTGTGGTTCTGGCTCATCTTCCTGTCGGTGCTGTCGTCGGTGGTGTTTGTTGGCCGGCTGGTGCTGATGCTGGTGCGCGCCTTCCGCGTCCCTTTGCTGCAGCACAAGGCCCACTTCAAGTTCGGCTCTCAGATGACCCGCGGCGTCAACTCGCTGGAGGTGGGCGACTTTTTCCTGCTCAGCCTAATGGCGCGCAACATGGACGTCACTGCGTTCAGGCTGCTGCTGAAGGCGCTCGCCAAGGAGAGCTTCCTCGCCAGCTGCTCAGACCTTGACGACGATGACGAAGAGTCTGAGGCTACGGAGGAGATGCCGATGAAGAGGAGACCCGTGATGCGCATCCTCTCGGACAATACGCCAGTAGAATGAGGCGCGACCGGGAGTATCGGAAAGAGCACTGCAGGACTCGGTCAGCGGGGAGACGCGGGGTCTAGAGCGCAGTGGCTAAATCCTCTTCAGATTTCCTAAGCTTCCGGGTGATGCCCAACGAACGGTATGCATGCGCGCTACACAGATAATCTTCGACAGACTGCGCAACTGGCTACGCGTCATATAAACGGTGTAGTTTATTAAGTTGCCAACGGGGATACTCTGCTTCCTTCATGTTAGTGCCTTCCCTGCACGATGGCTGTGCTATTGTGCATGGTACATTGCACGACACTTTGTGTGTCAGACTGTGTACAAATCAAACGGCATTAAAGTGGCTTGTACCGCACAGCAAGTACATATATGTATAGTGCGTTTATTGGGTTTTACTGTGTTTCCATAGTTGTAAGAATATTACTGTCTTCGCCATCAACACATGTTTCCTCATCTCGCGTCTAGAAGTGCCCGTGTCAGTCGAGAGATGTATTGTTGATGGCCAAAACAATGTGGTTTTATGTGAGGCTTCTTGTTTGCTCGCCTGCTTGCGAAGATACCTTAACCCTAGAACGCCTAGGGGGGGGTTGTATCAACCCCCCCCCCCCCTGAGGTTTTTTCGAAGTGCACGCTAAACGGCTTGTCGTAGCGGGCTGAAATTTTCAATACCCTCTGGGGCAACCTTTGCGCATCTTTTGCCGAAAAAAATTGATCGGGTCATGTCAGGTCACGGAGTTATGACGTCATAAGAGGTACAGCCTCCGGCCGGATTTTCACAAACTGAGTGCCAACGCCCGAGGTTTCCTGCCGGTGGTACGGACATCGGTCGATGGATCGTGATGAAACTTCCCATGCATGTTGGGGCAAGTATTGGCTATCATATGGTATAAGAAATTTGACCGGGTCAGGTCAGGTCACGGAGCTATGACGTCACAAGAGGAACAGCGTCCGGTACTATTTTTGAAAAGCGCCCGAACCACTATTTTGCTAATTCTTGTCACCTCAATGGGAATATGCAGCAATATTAGCTTCTTTAGGGAGCAAATGGACCTCCCAAATCCAAAAATACAATCAGATTTCAAAAATTTAAATTTTGATTGTTCGAATTTCTGCCGCCGACTGTGACCTTGCCGACTTCCGGCGCTCCCAACGCTCCATTTTTAGAGCTAGGGAAACGAAATACATACCAAACGATAGAGAATTGATCAAGGAACACGATAGTGAAGGTTTCAAGTCGATATCTCCCACCGTTTTGCCGCAATCGCCGCCGAAAGTTGAAAAAAGTCTATTTTTCCGAAAATTTGACCTTTGACCGGTCAAAAGTAGGTCAAATGTTGACCTAGGACCAAAAAATATACCACCAATCGCGAGATCTCGTTGAGAGCAATCCGTTGGTTTTTTCCGCTAAGCTCTACGACCTTCCGTTTCGAAACGCCAGGGGGGGGGGTCGTAACAACCCCCCCCCTGGTCGTTCGTGTTATGAGAAATGGCCTGGTCGTGCGAGGGTTAACCCTCGCATGTGTGCGGCGTTTGCCAGCTTCTAATGTGTAGGGAGGGGTCGGTTGGACCCCCCCTTGCCGTTTGGCCCCTGATCGAGCTAGAGCTTCGCGGAAAAAACGAGCGTGTTGCCCGTGACGAGAGGAAGCCGATGATACCGAATTTTAAGGTCCTAGGTCATTGGTTGACCTTCCAAGTCAGGTCAATGACCCAAAGTCGGGAAAATCGGGACCTGCTAGAAAGTCGTGAAGTGTGGCTGCTAAGGGGTTTTTCGGAACGCTGATCACGAATATCGTGTTAGTTTTGATCACAGATGATGTCTTTAAGCATTTAGACCAGGTCGGGTCAGGTCAGGTCAGGTCAACCAGTAGGCGTCGTGACGGGTATTCGTAGTACGTGTCAACGGCCTCTGACAGCTTCGTAACATGTTACGAAGTCACCAAAACTACTTCGTATATGTTCAAATGGTTGCTAAATTCGAATTCAGCTCCAAAAACTAGCCTAGAAACATCATACATGTAAAACTCGAAAAAGTGAACTGAGGTCACCAAAGGTCAATGACCTGACCTGACCTTCAGGTGACCTTGACACCCACCCTAATGCATGGGAGCAACATCAAATCACATGTTTGAATGTTTGAAATCACGAAAAGCTTGCAAACGCGCGGCTAATGCGAGCCGACATACGCGGAATCGCGATTCCGGCCAAACATGGTCTCGGAAAAAAGGTCACGGGTCAAAGGTCATTTGGGTCAGGGTCATGAAATTTTCAGGGTAGGTGTAAAATTGATCAATGCGAGGGTACTGAAAGTTTGGTCGCGATCGGCCGCCTTTTACGCGAGTTATTCGCGAAAAACCATGGGGGTCCATCCGACCCCCCTACACATGCGAGGGTTAAGGATGTTGCATGTTGCATCAGCATAAATAGTGTTAATTGTATTTCAGTTGAGACAAGTATAATAACACGGAAAAAATGATAGACGAACGCGGATTTAGCCGAAACGCGTTCGTCATCATTTTTGTTCCGTGTTATTATAATAGTGTTACGTGATGGTCGAAGGGGTGGTTCTTTCTAAGTTGATGGGACTGAGATGGAAATCTGTTCTAGGTGTCCCAGAAATGTTGAACGAACTCATATCGCTTGAGGCTTAGGAAAGGTTTCGTAATGTTTTAGAAATGTTATGGCAAGTTTCGATTTGTCGTTAATATATTTTTTCTACATTTTATGACCTGCAGTTTGTGTTCAATGCAATAGATCGGAAAGGAAGAATGTTAAAACTTTTGAAATCATGTTTCTCGTTTACTAAGATGGTACCTACGTTGAAAGTCACATTATATGCATATACCTACAGATATTATACCAATTAACATCGAAGCTATGTGATGTCATGTCAGTTCAATAAGTTTCTTTTCGTATTGATTGTTCTGGTTAAAGTATATAAAATGGCACATTTCAATGATATTCATCACGACTTAAGAATATGAAAAATAACAACGTGATGAACATCCACGATACTTGTTCGACCGAAGTCTAACGTTATGTCAATTTACATAATACAGCGGCAAATTTAATGCGCTCCCATTTAGCTGTTCGGTCAAAAGGTACTGTGTATGTATCTCAATAATGCCCGGTGCCGCCACACCACTACCGTCTCTGAAACCGGCGCCGATGACAGAGCCGTACACTGGAACCAGACAGCGGCACACACACCGGAAGCGCTATCGCAGCGCTTCCGCTCCAGAATGCCCTGAAAGTCTCAGCTAGCCGGCTGATCAGTCTTTGTCCAGCCTCTGCTCCTGCGCAGTGAACCAGATCACCCAGCGAGCGAAACAGCGGGAGCAGCTACACACAGGTCTGAGACCCAGCAGAGGTGAGGACTGAGGAGAGATTTCTGAACACGGCTCACTCTGCCTTCATTTTCTTAGGTTGTCTGATGACATACAAGGAAGCGTTTGGCGTTTCCTTGTATGTTTTCCTTGTAGGTTGTCTGATTCTGTGTTTATGTTCATTTTGAGCTCGCCTGTCTGGTGGGATATATTTCGTTCCCTGTTGATGATTTCGCAGTCGATCAAAAAAAAAAACTATTTGGATGATAGATGCAATGCTCAAAACCATTTGCAGGCCGGGCCCCATATCAATTTCATCGAAGCGCCATCTAAAAACATTCAGCCATGCTGCTGGGAGTGTTCACAAGTCTATACGACATCATCCGGATCTCGGGATCCGACAAGCCCACCGTCGACACCAGGGTGTTCCAGCTGCACTACAAGTGGACCCGGCTGCTGCTCTTCGTCTTCTGCATCATCGTGTCGCTCAACTCCCTCATCGGTGAGTGTCACTCAACTCAACTCCCTCATCGGTGAGTGTAACTCAACTCAACTCCGCCATCGGCGAGTGTCACTCAACTCAACTCCCTCATCGGTGAGTGTCACTCAACTCAACTCCCCCATCGGTGAGTGTCACTCAACTCAACTCCCTCATCGGTGAGTGTCACTCAACTCAACTCCCTCATCGGTGAGTGTAACTCAACTCCGTCATCGGTGAGTGTAACTCAACTCAACTCCCTCATCGGTGAGAGTAACTCAACTCAACTCCCTCATCGGTGAGTGTAACTCAACTCAACTCCCTCATCGGTGAGTGACTCAACTCAACTCCGTCATCGGTGAGTGTAACTCAACTCAACTCCCTCATCGGTGAGAGTAACTCAACTCAACTCCGTCATCGGCGAGTGACTCAACTGTTGTTCAAATTGTGACTTGATTGTAAAAAAAGATTAGCACCCCAGTGTGCTACTATACAGTTGTCTTCGTTGTGTTTACTGAAAATGTTGACCGGTATTGCATCCACCATCAGCCACACACTTCTTTTTCAGTTTCCATCTCTGATTCTGATTCATACAAATCGGCTAGAGAACATATGCGCAAGGATAACATAAAGTCGGCAAAGCTACACTATTAAGAAAAAAGGCTTCGCTGATAGATATTCCTGCTTATCCTTCTTTGTAAAGCTGAGGGTCGAGACGTCCCTAAAATAGAGCCCCATTCAACCCATATTCGGAACACATCGGATGGATTTAAACTCGCACATGACCGAGCCGTTGCAGTAGAAAATACGCGGCGCAAGCCACACGGCGGCACTCTTAGGCGTCTCGGTCTAACCCTGTAAGGTCAAGTAAGGTCACGGGCCCCATATCTGCGTAGCAGATTGTGGCCCACCCAGTAAAGCAAGAGCGCTGAAATTGGTACCAAACGACTCACCATGACATTGATAAATAGGAAGAAGTTACTTTTCCCGTCACCATGATTTTTACCTCTAAAGGACACACGATGACCTAAGGTCATTTACGGATCGTCGGATCATGTCGACAAAATATATGTACATCGTTCGTTACTATACAAAAAGGAATAATTGCAACAAAAAGCCCGAGTCACTCAATCACGATACATGACGAGAGATAGAGACATTCTATTCTGGCAAACTGCTATTGACAAACCGCTACTGAATGTAGCCCCGTTGGACCTGGGAAGCATGAAACGTCAAAAAATGACAAGTGACTCAGAATTTAGGTAGTTGATCCGAAATATCCCGAACCTGCGCTGAACGCGGGTTGAATATGGGCTGTCTGGACGGACGTGGGGCCGAGGCTGTCGCGCTGGCTGCCGGACGAGGGCCGGCGAGTCCGGCAGTGACATCACCGCGGACTTCCCTGGGGCGCCACTGCCTGGGGCGCCGACACCCATCGTGAGGCAATGCGGCGTCTCAGAACGGTGTGACGTCATCAGCGTCACACAGCCGTCACGGGTCGACGAAACTCCCCCGCTCCACGGAATGGCGTGACGTCATTTACGTCACAGAGTCGTCACGTGATATCGCTTATCGTTGAGTCGTGACATCCCGAGTATTTTTTGAATCGCACTCATGAGATCTCTATCACTCTCACGCTCCCTCTCACACCATTTTGAAGAAATAGCACCAAAATGGCCACTCATGAAAATCACAAATCAAATTAGTAACCTAACCATTCTACGTTAGTCAGGGAAATGACTTAGATAGATTGCAACCGTCCCCGGCCCACCTCCAGTCCACTGTGGTCTGTAACTGTCTGTTCTTTTAACCTCGTCCCATTATTGTGGAATGTGAATTATGTAGTATCTGCTGTTGATCCCATAATCCCGCGGTACCACGGGATCTTGTTAAAATAATTTAATGATTTTTACATAATTCCTTCCAGGCAAGCCGATCGCCTGCACGGGAACGGCGGAAGCACGTCTGCAGGAAGTTATGCAGACCTACTGTTGGATCACTGGCACGTTCACGTACGAGAAGTACTTCAGGGACAACCAGATCGGTAAGCCACTGACAACACTTCCCGTCGTAACAGTCTAACCTGACGAAAACAATATGGCGGCCAGCGCACCTGTGGCGCACTCGTGCCTCGCATGCAGATGTCCCGGTGATCGGAATAATAAATGTTTATGGTGGGAATATCACCACATGAAGAGCTAGGTCACACCGATCCGCTGAGTTTAGCATTCATTGTTTGTACCTGTGAATCAAGGTTTTAAGCTATCACTTTATAAACAGCAACGCAAAAAGCACAAATGATATTGGATATGTCACGGGCCCATCTGGGTATTGTCCCTATTCCCTGGGCTTAAACTTGAAATCCTTCCCTTCAGGAGCCAGTCAGCTGACAAAGGTGGGCGTCGGTCCCGGCCATCCTGAACACGACGAAAAGAAGCACATCACCTACTACCAGTGGGTGCCGATCGTGCTCTTCCTGCAGGGCGTGCTGTTCTACGTGCCTCACTGGATCTGGAAGATGTTCGAGGACCATCGGATCCGCCACCTGATCGAGGGCATGGTCGAGGCCCGCATGGAAGAAAAGAAGCGACGTCAGCGTCAGGCTCTTGTGGTAAGGTATCTGGTCGACAGCAAGGGAACGAACGAATGGTACGCCTACCAATACGTCTTCTGCGAGATTCTCAACTTTGCCAACGTCATTCTGAACTTGGTGCTCACCGATAAGCTGCTCGGAGGAGACTTCTTCACACTGGGCACGCGTCTCATCAAGTACGATCCGGAGGACCCGACCTCGGTGGACCCTTCGCACTACACCTTCCCCAAGCAGACCAAGTGCACGTTCCAGTATTTCGGCGCGTCCGGCACAGTGTCGACGATCGACTCCATCTGCATCCTGCCCATCAACATCTTCAACGAGAAGCTGTACGCGATGCTGTGGTTCTGGTTCGTGCTGCTCGGACTGGTGACCGGCTTAAACCTGCTCTGGCGGCTGGCCATGATCGCCTCACCGGTCCTGCGCGTCTGGGTGCTTCAGACCAAAGACCACACACACGACGTCGGCAACATGAGCGTCGTCACAAACGTCGTCAACGGCATCAGCTTCTCGGACTTTTTCTTCGTGTGGATCTTCACTAAGAACCTGAACGGGCTGGTGCTGTTCGACTTTCTGCGCGAGTACTCGGCAGGGGTGGCCGAGGACCTCGCCCCCAAGCGCCGGCCGCGCCTCTACCCGACCCTGCCGCACGCGATGCAGCTGCAATCGCTGGACTCTCCGGGCGGCCACAGCAGCACCGCCCCGGACTTCGAACTCCGCAAACCTCTCACACCTTGCGATGACACCGATCCCGTCTATAGCTCTGTGCTACCCACCAAACGACGCCAGTGACCACGCCTGGCCCGGTATTGATGTCACAGTGTCGCCGTAAATGTTATAGCGCTGTGTATGTACACGCTGTAACGCGGCATCAACCGCATGACTTCTGATGATTTTAAATGAGAAATACCGGTCCTGTTTCATATTTGTTAACTTACGCATGATGGCGTAACTTGACAGGTCGTGCATGGCATCTGATATTTTGGCAAGATATCCACATAAGATTTGATGTGCATGTGATATGGTGCGACGTTTAGGTGTGTAGTACATTCAAAAATGCTGGCATGATGTCAATAATGCGACAACAGTAGTCTCGTCTGTAGATTGTTCTTCCCAGTATTGTATTGTAGGCATTGGATCAGTATTGTAGATCTTCTCAGTTCTATCGCGTGACCGACTCATGCCATTTAAATGGCAGGCGATCCTGAACCGGCGCGTGTGGTCTCATGCAGGTCGTAACCGTCAATTGCTTTCGTCGCCGATAACGAAACATTGCTAGGACTATCCCTAGCAATATTCGCTAAGACCACGACAATGTCTCGCAATCGCTCCACTATGCCAATGACATAACATCGAATGTCATAGCAATATTCGCCTAAGACCACGACAATGTCTCGCAATCGCTCCACTATGCCAATGACATAACATCGAATGTCATTACGCTCAAATATAGACCACTCGTGGTGATGATAAATGTGTCTCGAGTCTGAAATATCCATTCATATTCTAGGTGAGCGAATTACAAGCTATCCATGATAAACCATAAAATAAAGTAAGAAAATTCTAGCCATTCCCTGAACAATGTGAGTCTCTTTAAATTTGAATGATGTATGGAGTATGGAAGCCATGAGTGTCTTCATAATCTCAACCAACACAGAAAGCGGGAGGGCGTTGATGTTTTTCCCACGTGAGGTTTTTCGTAAACATCGCTAGGATCTGACGACCCTCAATGGATCTGACCAGGATCTGACCAAGATCTGACTAATGCCTGAAACAGACTCTTTCGGCGTTCAGGAAATCGCATGCGAGAGCCGAGAGCCTATCGAAATACATGTAAGCACGCTCGCATCAATCGCACGCACGCACCTCCCAGATGCGATTGATGCGGAAAGAATTATAATGTATTTGGATAGGCTCTCGCATGCGATTTCCTGAACGCGGAAAAAAGTCTGTTTCAGCCTTAAAGGAAGACTGCCACCTTCAAAAAGTTTTCTCAGATCGGCCTATGATTTATTCCCTGGACAAAACAAAATTTTAGAATTCACCTGACAAAGTATCATCACGTGAATCGCGAAAAAAATTGTCGATTATCATACAATTATCAATCGGTTAATGTCTAGCGACAATGTTTACACATCACTAGACTTCAAGGTCATAAGATTATTACATTTTATTTGAAAAAGTAAGGTATTTTATGATTTACTAATATATGATTTCATAAGAAATTGGCCATGTTTAATTTATTTTGCATTTAAGTTCGTAAAACATTTAAAAATCATGGCTCATTTGGAATGGGTCTGGCCCATGTTAAACCCCATTTCCCACACTTTTTTGGAAAAAATGAACTACTGAATATATAAGTTTAACTTTTATTTTGACACTCCAAAATTCTTCTCTGATCTCGAAACAATCAAAGTTTTGACATATATTTACCAAAAGATAAGAAAATTCATGTTTCAAAGTTATCAATAAACAGTAGAGATGTCGGTTTTCTTGGACTAAAAAAATGGCATCAAACTGAACTTTGGTCTCCGATTTCTCGCAAACGGGTTCGAATTTCGGAAAACCGACTTCAGTCTGGGACATAGGTGGCTCAGCTCTAGTGAAAACCGTTTTGTGGAAAAAAGGTGGCAGTCTACCTTTAACAGTAGGCACATCTTCGTGTTCATCGACCAATGGAGGCACAAGCAAACAAGCAAACAAACAAACAAACAAACAAACAAACAAACAAACAAACAAACAAACAAACAAACAAACAAACAACAAACAAACAAACAAACAAACAAACAAACAAACAAACAAACAAAACGTGTAGGGGAAAGACCATCTCAAACATACACAATAAAACATTACAACCAGTCAGGTCATCGAGTGGGTAGGGTAGACCGGGGCAAGTCGCCCCGCCGAGGTAAAACGCCTCACCGATGTTTCTCGGAACTGGCAGGGTTCTGGGGAAACATCATCTCTTCTATAAAACGTGCACTATATGATCATTATATGAGCAGACTGGAAAGAAATTGTGATGACTCTTTCGGGAGATATAGCCAAAAATGTGTTTTTTGAGTGATTTTTATGTTTTGTTGTCAGATTATGTATCATGGCGTTCTTTTATGGTCCACATTAGGTTAACGACTTTTATGTATTTTGAACAACTATTGTCTAACGCTTATCATGCCGGGTTGGTTCGTGTTAAATTATGTCTTGCTGGAGTGCAAGGCGTTGTTCTCTGACCGAACTACGTGATGGGGTAAAACGCCCCAGTAGGTCGCGGGGCAAAAAGCCCCTGGGGCGTTTTACCTCATGTGTTGTTCGGGCTACCCACTTCCTTATGTTCGGTAGCTGGCGAACAGTAAGTTTCTATGCCTTTATGTGTATTTTTCTCGGCAACTGGATGGCAAAGGAAGTATTTTGTTAACATTTGCATTGCAATAATTTATTACTTGGTCTTATGAGGTAGGTGAAAAACCTGCTCATACAATAGTGTCATAGCTGAGCACCTGACAGGATGGAATGTGCTAACTTCAGTGCCGTGCCTCCAGAGGTCTAACGGACCTCTCACATAAGATTTAGCCAACTACCATGTTAAATCTTCAATCTAAAGTATGGGGCTACTTGCCCCAGGCCGTGGGGCGTTTTGCCCTGGGGTTGGGGCAAAATGCCCCATTTGCAGTTGCTTCACAAATCACTTCCTAGCTTGGAGTCCGATCATAAGTGAATCAATTTGAGGGGTGCAATTTAAAGTAAAATGTCCAAAGAACGCATTGAGCACAAATTTGGCCTTCCAGGTGATGTGGGACAAAATTTATGCAGCGAAATAAATTATCTGGGGCGTCTTGCCCCAGGCTACCCTACTGGCGCTACTTTATAGGTATGCCATGTCATGTTTAACCGAAATACAAATGTATTTCGGTTCTACATGACATAGCATACAAAATAACGCCAGTACCTACTCGATGACCTCACTGTATGGGAGATCTTCTCAGTTCTATCGCGACTGAGAATGGACTTTGTAGACTGACTTTGTGACCTACTGCACATGACAAAATTTGGTGAACTGTGAAGATTCCTTTCTGCTCGATTGAACTGAAAACTCTTCCCCGATTTCGGACGCTTCGGGACGAACATAGGTATGCTTCAAATGCCCCCTTCTCCCGATTCTGGCCTGGGGCCAAAGAGCAGACGCCCAACATCACGGCTTCAGACATGGGGGCGTTTGTATCGTGTAGCCTGTGAGTGACCGCCTTTGCTGCTGCACTCAGCACAGTGTTATCGATAGGTACTCAGAAGGACGGGCCGACAAACGTCACACTAAGAAGGCAAAGCCTGCCCGCTTTCACGGGACGCCCGAGGCTTTTACGGAAGGGTCCTTGGCGTGCTGAGCCCACTGCGAGAGCTCGACGACTTGGTGCATTTTCTCATTCACCACCCTCATTTTCCAGTGGTCAATCCAGACCACGATGGACGATGACGTTCGCCGACCGCTGACTCTCCGATGGGTGGTCGCTTAGTGTCGTGGTGTCGTCAGTAGAGATAAGTGTGCGGCGCCGGCGTCACCCTCAGATCAAGAACTAGGTCAGAGACCCACAAGTTGCAAAGTGTTAGGACCAGGAGCCCGTCCTGGAGGAGACCGACAAGGAATAGCCGTCCGGTACTTTTGGCGCCGTTTACCTCCACCGACGACGGTCGGTGACGCAAAACGCCGGGCCCAGTCCCACCGTACCAGGCAGGGGTACCGGGTAAGCCTATCTTCTAGAAACGGTGCTGACTCAGGGGTTTCAGTTCTAGAATACGGTGCGGTCGGCGTGGACGTTGCAGGCACAGATGATGTCGTATGTCATCTCGAACTTCTCCGCTCTGACCGTTTACGCCGGCTTCCGCCTTCACGCGAGGATTGCATTTGTTCCAACCTTCCTGCTTTCCTGGATTTGCCTGCCAAGATTTTTGCGGATTGGTCCTTCCGAATGCTCCGCCATATGCGATTTCAGTTCGATGTACCTACCTAGTTTGGGATCCTTTCCGACTCTGGAGATCGGACGGCTCTTTATGAAATCGTGCCGTTGGTGTTCGTCTTGATGCGACGGTGTGGCGACGCGTGCGGCACCGGACTCCGGCCGTCGAGGAGTTGACCAGGGCTCCAGCCCTTCGGGTGCTATCTAAGTCCCACAAGAGGTAAGTCCCCACAGGCCACACCACTTACCTCCAGAAGGCGAGGTCCAAAACCAGGCTGTCGCAGGGCACCTCGGGGCGGGGCTGGCGAGGGTGTCTTTCCGCCCTTTCCGATGTCCGATGTGACCTGTGGGAGATCAAGGCAAGGCCGATCAAGGATGCGATTTCGAGTGGCCATGGCGCCAGGCAGGCAGTAGCGGCGGAATACCTTCAATTAAGGGGGGGGGGGCACTGCCACTTTTGGTCCCATTCTTTCCATGCAACGCGAACGCCCATAGGGCTAATGTTAAAATGTCAAAATCAAGGGGAGGCATGGTGCGCCCCGGTGCCCTTCCCCCGGTCCAACGCCTATGCAGGCAGGGATAACAGGAGAAAGGGCATTTTATTAATTGTAATAAGTGAGTGCCACACCTCTGCACTTCAGGGTGGAGGGACCCACAGATTCGTCAGACGTCCAGACGCCAATGGCCATTGGCCAATGGCCATCCTCTTCAATCTTCACCTCTCTTTGGCCGATTCCAAACAGATCAATGAAGGGGAGGTCACTATCCAAGGCTGGTACCTTTGAGCAGGACTTCCATGAAAAAGTAAGCATCTTACGTCACAAGCCATTTTGAATTAGAATAGTTTCTCTCACTAGATTTAAAATTTTACGAAAAGTCTATCATAAAAACTAGAAACTGCTATGAATCGAAAACTTTTGTAGCTTATTTTTCTATATATTTTGATGGATCAATTCCAAATGAACATTTTTACAATGCACTGCTACATGACTGCTTCTATCATTTTTGATTACGTAATTTGTTAGAAAGTACTTTTTGTTTTTTGATGCTAACAAGTATCCTTGGTGCGATTGCAGCGCTCAGAACTTGGCGCGCAAGGCTCATGGCCAAAACAAATGGGGATGGGAGGATTTGCGCGTCGGATAACGTGTGCCTTCTTTGAGTTTGTGTTGTTTTCATTAAACTTAAACATTGCCTTTCTATGATGCTTTTATTCAGAGGAGTTAAGCTTGCACTGTGGTAAGTTGAAACTGAAACTCCTGCTGCATTTCGTTTGAAACTGGGTCACCGATTGCCCAGCGCAATCAATTGATGAGTATATGTTTTGCTCCTTGTTTTCACAAATATTGAAATGTGTGGATACCTTTTGCACTAATATTAGAACAATATTTGCACACTGAAAATGTTAATTGCTTATCAATAAGGCTTCAGTAAAACTTCAACTTTCTTAGGTAGTTTCAAAGGTCACACAATTTCTGAAATAATTGATCAAATATTTCAGGCATAAATGCTTCCAGAGGTAGTCTACCATTTGAAATGAACAAAGAAACCAAGTATGCCAAATTTGGTGAGCATGCTGCTGTTCATAGCCATTTGCCATGCCGATTTGGAATAAAATAATTTTTCAATGTGACGAGTCTTCAGCGTCTTTCTGGCTTATTTAAGGTATTGCTTGCTTTTCCCAGAAATATTCATGTTTGGTACTTATTCTTCTATGGGAATGCTCAATAGATTAATCTGTTGAAACAAAATGTCATTTGCACTTTGTTTTACGAAAGAGTTCTGCTCTAAAATATTTTTGTAGGATTATATGTGCAGTGAATTGTCATAGTGAATGATTTATTTTTTTAGTGAATTACAATTATCTAATTTTTTATGGCCTGCATTCTAAAATACCAAGAACCATTGCAAATTGCAGCTTTTCTACCCAATACCCATAGGTCAGACTCTTGTGAATGACCTGTAGGTCATTCACCAGAGTGAGACTTTTAACCATTTATTTCTTGAGTGGCTGTGATGATATTTTATAATCATATACCTAAGGGAAAGATAAAGTATAAGTTAATCAGAAAAGTCTTTAAATCCATCAATTCATCTATCAGGTTATTATACGGATGTCATTTTAATAGGAACCCTGTTGGATGCTGAGCATTGTTTAAACAGCCATTCCAATCCTGATATTTCAACTAATGGTGAAACTTTGATAGTCACCTCATGCTGCTTTTTGTTATCACTCCCCAATGATCAAATCCTGACATTTCTGAAAGCTAAATGTCCCTCCTAATGGTATGTTAAGTCTGGAATTTGATCCTTACTGCAACTGCTAGTGCTGATTTGTATATTTCAAATTGTTCTTAAAGGATCTAAAGCACTAAGTAGAAGCTTTAGGAATGAGCTGCTTATAACAACTCCTAGTCCCAAAAGCTATATGTATGGCTAAATGCAGTTTTTCATCCTGCCTTGGCCTTAGCACAGCAGGAAATATTTGCAAAAAGTGATCAAGGTTGAATTTTTAGTGGTTCATTTCATTAGCTTTGAGGCAGATTAATTGGCAATGAGAAGATCTATCATAGTTAGTAGGGGGTTTGTACTTTTTTTTTTGATTTTGACTTAAATGCTGCACAGCATTCTACTGCTTGGTACCTTTTCAGATGACATCGACCAAGATGAGTGATGACTGTTCTTGTGATTGGGAACAGCACAACTATAGCTATGACGTGTTTCAGATGGATCCCGGCGCCGACGAGCGCTCCGCGTTCCCCAGCTTCGAGCTGGTGGAGCGGCTGGACAGTCCCAGCTCCAACGAGCGCAACACCAACACGCTCTGCTCCAGCTCCGAGAGTGACGTCATGAAGACGCCGTCGGCGGGCGGTGACACGCCCAGTGCCGGCGGCGACTCGCCGGCCGGCTTCTGCCCGACACCGGGCACCCCGGCGGCCGAGAGCCGCGCGCCGCTGCCGCCGCCCGGACCGGGCGTCTCGCCGCCGTCCGCAGCGGCTGGCTCACCGCCTGCCGCCGTCACCGCCTCCCCGCCGGCGATGGTGACGGCGTCCCCGTCCGCCGCCACTGCCGCCGCCGTCCCGCCGGTGGTCGCCGCCGGCCTCGGCTCGCCGCCGCTGGGAGCGCCGTCTCCGCCCGCTCCGGGGGTCCTGCCGCCGCGGGTCCTCGAGGATCAAGACGCCATCGCCGCGTCACCGCACCGCGCGCCCGCCTGCGACTGCCTCATGTGTGACGCCACCTTCCACCCGCGGCTGGGCGAGGGCCTGCGCCGGCGCAGCGGCAGCGGGCGCGGCGCTCGCACCACCTACCACAGCCAAATCTCGCCAGACGCCGGCTCCATCAAGCTCAAGATCCGGGTACAGACGCTGGACCCTGCCGATGACGTGTCGCCCGGATCGCGGCGCCGCCGGCGGACCGACTCGGGCGGCGCGCCGCGCGGCAAGCGGCGGCGACGCTGGCGGCGGTCGCGGCTCAGCGACGACGAGGACGAAGAAGATCTGGCGGCGGCGCCGGTGCGACGTCGCCGCTCCAAGTCGTCCTCGCTGGCCGCGGAGGAGGAGGAAGACCCGGACCGACCGCAGGGGCCCTGGGCCGACGGCGTGCCGCCCGAGCTGCTGGAGCGCATCTTCGGTGAGGTGGTGCGCGCGACCGGTGCGGTGCCGGCGCTGGTGCGCCTGTCGCGCGTGTGTCGCTCGTGGCGCAGGGTGGCGCTGCTGCCTGAGCTGTGGCGCACAGTGGACCTGGCCACCGGTCTGATCCGGGATAAGATGCGACACGAGCGGCTGCTCATCTGGCTGGCCGAGAACCGGCTGTCGAAGACAGAGGAACTCAGTCTCGGTGAGTGGGCCGGTGATAAATGGTGGCTGGAGGTGGTTGTGTATTTTGAGGGATCTGCAGAGCGAGCTACCGAAAATAGGCGGTGGATTCCTTGTGATAAATATGCGTTCTGGAGATTTTGACCCTACCCTATGTTTCCATTTTTAGCTATTGTCATGCCCCGAAAAGGTTCTCCTAGAAGTGACTTATATCTGCCGTATTTCGCAGCAAATCCGCTTTTTCAAAGCATCAAGTTATTGCAGTTTATCTGTCTGTTTTTGATCTTGTTTTTGAGCATCACGAATATCTTTGATTTCTATCACATGTTGTTTCTGAACCACTGGCTGCGTCTCTGTCCAGGCTGACCGTGTCACCCGCCCCCTCTCCCGGCAGCGGGCTGGTCGTCAGCGCTCAGCCCCCGCTCTGTGCCAGTACTGGTGAGCCGAGCGCCCCAGCTGCGCTCGCTCTGCCTCTCGGGCTGCCGCAGCCTCACCGGCGAGGAGGTGGTACAGCTGGCCGGGCTCCAGCACCTCTCGTCGCTCGACCTGTCCGACCTGCAGGCGAACACGACCTCCGCGCGCGCCGCGGTCGGTCCGCACCCGCTCCAGCAGCTCAGCTCTCTGCTCGGGCCGCGACTGGTCAGCCTGACGCTGTCGCACAACTTTGTAGCCGGCATGCAACAGATTCTGGCGGCGCTAGCGGTGAGTGGAGAGAGGACTTACTTGTGGAACAGTGTCTTATGCCTAGATATGATTCTGTGCTAACATGGCCGCTCTTGCTAACCTAATTGCACTTGTTCGGATTTTGTTTTGGGTGTTATTGGGAAATTTGTCCTTCACTTGGGCAAATCATTACCTACTACATCTACATTCTAGTTTTCGTTACCACTATCTACCAATGAGGCATTCCAACTGAAATTGAAGCTCTAGCTCTAATTGAAACTCTAAATTGAAGTGAGTTATGTCGGTTTTCCATTTGCTGTGTACTCAGTTGTCTGAATGTAACTGAGGTTGGCCACATGCCTTTCTGTCTCACCAACTAGTCTAACATCGAACCCTGACCATCGCTCTCCATACACAGGAGCACTGCCCAAACCTGGAGGTCCTGGACCTGTCGAACATCACTAACGCCATCCGCGACATCGTGCCCGTGCGCGTGGAGCGGCTGCAAGAGGGCTGTCCGCGACTGCGCGTGCTGCGCTGGACCAACACCGAGCTGCGGCTGGCTGACACGCCCCTCAAGGAACAGGTGCGACCTCTGGCGCGGAGTGGTTAGGGGGGGGGGCGGCTTGATATGATGAATCGGCAGATATCTTGGCTCGATAGGTTTGGGGCTTTTGGAATGTGTGGAGGCGATTAGGAATGTTCGTGGGAAAGTTGGGTACATGGATCATGTCTGTATGATGGTTTGTAAAGATTGCAGCAGGTACCAGTGTTGGAATTTCGATGTCTTTCTCGTGAATAGTCTGACTTGTGAGATGTCATTTATGGTCGCTTTTATAACGCATGTCCCACTGATGGTTCACGGTCCCCAAGGTTCGATCATAGGGCGTGGGGGGGGGGGGGGGGTGGAGCGGGTAACGTTTTAATATTTATCGTAATGTCGAACCCGTTCACTGGCCTCTCGTCTACTGCCGTTCCCTGACGACCCCTCCCGTCCCCAGATGTCCTCGCAGGGTTTTCCGGCGCTGGAGGAGCTCAGTGTGGCCGTGCCGCGCGACCGGCACTGGGGTCTGGACGACGCCGGCGTGGAGCGCCTGCTCAAGGCGTCCAACCAGCTGCGGCTGCTGGACGTGCGCGGCTGCCAGCGGCTCTCCGACTCCAGTCTGGTGCGGGTGCCCGCCTGGAACCTGCAGCACCTGTTTCTGTCCGGCTGTGACGCCACCCGCTCCTCCGCCGACCGACTGGAGCTGGTGGTGCGCAAGTGGCGGCACAGTCTGCTGGAGCTCGACCTGAGCGGCGCGGCCAACCAGCAGGCGCTGGACGCGGCGCTGCTGGCGCTGGCCGAGCGGCCCGACCCCGGACAGCCGCCGACGCCGCTGCGCAAACTGGACCTGTGCGGCGCGGCCGGCACGTTCGGGCCCGTCTGCCGGCTGGTGGCCGCCTGTGCCGAGCTGCGAGAGCTGAACCTCACCTCGTGCCGGGCGCTGCCGCGCGGTGTGAAGCGCGTCTACCGCGGCCCGGAGCTGGAGGCGCTGCGACGCGACATCGCTGCCGGCAAGTTCAACGAACAGGCGAGCGAGGAGGCTGGCTAACTGCGCCTGTGGACGCGCAGTGAGTCTGACTGCCGCCGGTGCCGGTCGCCGTGACCCGGCGCCGTGCACCGTCCTACTGCCAGTGGCTCGGCGGCGCGCTGGGCGGCTCCCCGCGGCCGCTGCGCCTTCCGCGGCGAGGCCAGTCGAGCGGCGTCCCGTGGCGGACTGGCTCGGGACGGGCTGACACTCCGGCCTGCACACTCGAGCTAGGCTCTAACTGCGACCTAGCCGCGTGTGTGCCGCATATGAGCCGCACATGAGCTGCGTTTGAGCCGTGTTTGAGCTGCGTATGAGTCGTGTTTGAGCTGTGTTCGAGCTGAGTTCGAGCTGTGCATGATTGACATGTTGACCTGCCTGCCCGGCGTGTTCTCTATGAGTGAGGACACCCAGCCTGCCTAAATGGGACGATATAGTTGGCCAGCCGGAGTGTTGTTATATTATTATTGTCCGTGGACATGTGTATTGTGTATATATGTCGGCAATGTGTTTGTACCGGCCTCTTGTGCGCTTGTGACAGCTGTGTGTAGCTTACAGTATGTGACCGCCCGGGGATACGGACTATCACATGACTTGCGCTGCAGCTATCCCCTTCATTTGCCTGTGTTCCCACATTTCTGCTCAGACATAAATCACGACACTTTTTTACTTTTATACGTTTTACTTAATTCGGTTTGTTGTGTTTTTAAATTATTTACCCAAAGGGTCTATAAGGTCTAAATCGATCCGTACCTATTGAGGTTGAAAGCTCAGGTTTGAGAATGCACCCACTGATGTCGTTTTGTATCTACTGCGTTATCTGCTTCCTGCGTTGAGGGTAATTCACAGTATGGTTCGGCTCTGCCGCACAAGTCCGCTTCGCAACCGGCTGGGTTGTGCCTGCGCCTCGATGAGCTCTAGTTGCTGTGCGGCTTCATCATTGGATTTTGTCGTGACGTTGACCTGCTAGTGTTGTAGTGATGATCATTTAATCAGTTGATCAAATGATCAGTTGATTAGACTGCTATATTAACATCTGAGATGAGCTACGGACAGTCCGATAATTGAGGGGGATTGTGTTTGCAATAGGTGATGTGTCTCGTGATTGTGGCTTAATCGAAAATGACATCTATTTCCATGATTTCGTAGTTGTGCTAGCGTTTTATCATGCAAGTAGGAGGCCAAATGCTTTCTCGCGGAAATCCTGTGGAGTGTAATCGCTTGTCTGTATGCATTTTGTTTTGCATGGACGAAGCCAAATCATCTTTCTACTTTCGCCCTGCCGCTTGTTTTAGTGCTTCTTTTATATGGATGCAATTTGTCACCGGTTCATTTGGTGCTCAATGTCTGTGTTCTGGCGGTAAATTCTGTTGTTGGCTGTAGTCTGACGGGGTATGTCGCGGGTGAGCTGGGCGGGTGCTCGCCCTGGCAGGTCGACACCGCCCGCTGCAGAGGCGGCCGGCGCGAGCTGCTGTACAAAGCGTGTGTACAAATGTGAATAACCGTGTCTCGTGTTGAGGACCATTGCGTTCCAAACGTGGCTCCTGAATACGCGCGCGGTTGGAGGACGGGGTCGTTACTAACTGGCAGACAGCCTGGCCGCTAGCACGATATTAATATGTCTGTTTAAACGCGCGAATATATCTCGGAATCTGGTCGGAGTGTGGATGCTGAGTGGACACTGGACGGACATGCAGATTGAAATGTGCACGTTGGGTCGAAGTGAAGATGTTTAAACGAATTTGAAGATTTTCAAAATGTTTGCTTGTATACAGACGCCCGTCATATCACTTAGCTGGTAGTGAGGGTGACTATAGAAACCGGGCCCTGACCGCATTCTCAGCATCGTATCGATATTCATCAGAGTCAAAACACTCCTCCGTTACTTTAGCGCCGTCTTGCACGTACTGTTGGTCTAGTAAAATTATGCAGCCCTCCTTGACCATCCGAGTATATCCCTGGCCGTTGATTAGAGTCCTTCGTTCGGTTTCTTGTTTTTTGATTAACCGATTCCGCCGTATCGTAACTGCCGTGCCGTCCTTACAAGGGACCCCCAGCGTAGTCATGACAACTGTCACCTCCACTGCAGCACGGACGGGCCGACAGCGGGTCCACTCGGGTGCTGGTAACCGCTGGCTGTGTCCATGGCTCCAGTTATCGCCACGCCATATGTGGAAGGCTTTTGGTGTCAATACATACATACATACATACATACATACAGTTCCGTCAATTCCGGCGGCCGGCGGTCGCGTTGGTGGTTGTCAGGTCCCCGCACAGCCGCGTGGCCTTTCTGTGTATATGGTGTGTGTATGTGTGTGTGCTCCCGACTGCGACGGTCTGCCCACATTATTGACTGCCGTCCCAGCTGGTCGGGGGGGGGGGAGGAGGGGAGGGGCAGACCGCACTGTATGCACTGTGCACCTCACGGACACAGTGTCGGCCGCCGCCCCTCGCCGGCAGCCGCGCCGCCGGCGGAACGCAGCAAGGTCAGTGCCGGGACACGGGCAGAGAGGGGACATACTCCCGCCTGTCAGTCAGGGGCATGACTTCAAGTAGGAGAGACCGGGGCAAAGCGGCCACCCTTCGTTTTAGCCCAGCACAACTGACGTTAGCTCTAAGTTCATAGTTGCCAATTATGCTTCCCTTCGCGGTCGTGTGAATGAGCCAGATCGGAGTTTCCGACTCGTTGCCTTTTTTCCGTTACAGACGAGAAGGCATATTTTGCCACGTTATTTTTTTCATCCCAATATTCTTGCGCTTTTAGATGCTATTTATGCCGTAATCGTTTGGAAGTTTATTTAAGTGTTCTCATGGTTACAATGAGTGGTTATCGCACATTTCCTCTACCAACTTAAATGCGTTTTAACCCATCAATAACAGATATTTTATTAGACTGGAATTTATTAGACTGGATTTTATTTATTGGGAGATATTTTGTCTCGCGTGGTAGAAGTGGGGGAAAGCGGACTGGGCAGAGTGAACAGCTCTTAATTCCTTAAAAACCAAACGTTTTTGATGTTAAAATGTATCGGTATGCGCTCATCTCGCCCACTTTTCGGTTACATACGCTGCCCAAATAATGCAATTCAAATGTTTTTCCATGAACGTCCTTGCGTTGTTTACCGTTTACCTACTGGTGAACAATGGCAAAATAAACATTCGTCCGGTTTTAATTTTTTACGATCAAAAACGTCATTACTACATGAGGAAACTATCCTGTATCTCATATTGGAGGCAAGCAAATCGCCGCTGGTCGCTTTGCCCCGGGGTCTGTGGCAAAGTGGCGAATAAGCATAGTTAAGTTTAAAGTTTTGCCAATATTTTCTTCATGTGAAGTTGAGAAATGAAACTTAAGAAATGAAACGAAGCCGAACTAAAATGCCCCATGGGGCTTTTTAGTTTTTGCCCAGCGACCTACTGCAGGGCGTTTTACCCCATCACGTAGTTGGCGGTTAGAGAAAAACGCCGTGCGCTCGAGCAAGATATAATCAAGCGTGAATCAGCCCGGCATTGGAAGCGTTAGACAATAGTTCAAAATACATAAAAGCCATTTACCTCACATGCACCATGAAAGAACGTTATGATGTATAATCAGACAACAAAATATAAAAATCACTCCAAAAACACATTTTTGTCTTCATCTCTATAAGGACGCATCACAATTTCTTTCCAGTCTGCTCATAGGGATAATGATCATATAGTGTACGTTTTATATACCAGAGAATGTTTCCTCAGAACCTTGCCAGTTGCCAGTTCCGAGAAACATCGGTGAGGCGCGTTACCTCGGCGGGGCGACTTGTCCCGGTCTACCTTGATCCATTATCGGTTATCCTTAGAGAGTGCGACTGAACTTCAGAAAGTCTTGACTAGAACGCTTAACGAATACACGTTGGTTATAAATTATTGAGTTTAAAAAAGTGTAACCGCATCAGACTGTCAGTGTCCGTGATAATTTAACCTATCCTAGGCTTTCTTTCATTGATTTCCCATCTCAGTCCATAATAAACAATTAAAGCTCACACTTAGGTAATGATTGATAAATTCGTTTAAAAAATATTACGACGGCGAGGAAATATTTTTCGAGCCGCTGTCTCAAGTCAGTAAATGTTAGCCGGGTAGGAGCACATCGTCGCCCGATACCTCTTCACTTGTTGCTTGTCAAGTAGATGGTACTGACGTCCGCGCACAATAGGCACACGCCGGCCATCCGGGTCGAAGCGCACGGCTTTGACAGGGCAATTCAGCTGCGTCAGTGCACAGTGGGGCGACCATCATGCACCCACAGTGTAAACGGTCAACGGTTTGGCCAACTGCATGGATCAATGGTAACCATGACAGTCGCCAGGGCCATTAACGGTGACACAAGGTTCGCGAGCCACGAAAAACTTAATCTCGTTCTTGTAGGCATAGAATAACAATTTTTGCGTTACGATGGCAAGAGGAAAATTGGGTTTTGATAGCTAGACTATAAGGCTGTAAAGACGTCTTAATTAGAGATAAGTTTGCTAAATTAGCGGAACCTTTCATAAAAAATCATCAGCTGTATTCATTCATTCATTCATTCATTCATTCATTCATTCATTCATTCGTTCGGTCGTCAGTCAGTCATCAGTCATTCATGTAGGCATGCATCCATGCATCCATGATAACACACGCATTAATTCGTTCTCTATAAGCATAAATTCATTTATTCACCCATCCATCCATTCATTCATTCATTCATTCATTCCCATCCATCCATCCATCCATTTATCTATTCATGCATTAAATAATTAATTAATTCATTGATTCATTGACTCATTTATTCATTGAGCGATTTATTAATATTTAAAAAAATTCACTCGTTTTTTATCCATTCATTCACGCATTCATTTATTGTTTGTTCGTTCGAGTATATAGGTATTCAATCACCGACATCCAACTTCTGAAAACTGAATCTACTATAAGTACCTAGCTAGGTGTTTTGGAATCGTTGCTTTCGAAGCAGGAATGAATCACAAAAACTGGTCTGTTGTCGCGCTCATACATCTGCGATATGCATGTAATCATTTATTTTGTTGGCTGATGCTTGCATAATTACACGTGGAACTAATTCACACGGAATAGAGTACTTCAAAAGTATTGTTGAAATTGTATGTGTAAATGAGGGCACATCTACCCAGGGGCGTCGCCACGGATTTTTGAGTGGGGGGGGGGGCGGGTTTCCGGTCTTCGTCTTGATGGGTAGGGGCATAGACCCCTTTAAACAAGGGGTCTATGTTTAAAGGGGTCTATGGTACGGGTGTTTTTAGCCACACTCCCGGTTTTTTCGTGTGCCCGGAGAAAAACCTCGGCGCGCAGCGCCGCGAAAGCAGCGGTATATCTTATTGTACCGGGTGATCATTTGGGAATGAGATAAAGTAAGTGGCACGTGCAGATGTGTATTCAATAGCACCCCAGACAAAAGACACGTCATTAGACTCGTCATCGTGGGACATTTTGTACTGCACACTTTTATACACCTGCAAGCCACTGTTCATCTACAGCAGGTGCTCAAAGTGGCCACTCCCTTCTGAGCGGCACAGCTCAGCCCGACGGCGTGTGTGACGCGCCATCTTTCGCAGCTGCTCTTCGTCCATGTTGCGGGCGACGTCCTCAACCAGTTCCTTCAGCTGTTCCAGCGTTTGGGGCTCGCTGCGCACGATCTGAGCCGTCACCAATGACCAGAAACAAAAGTCCAGACAAGACAGGTCGGGACTGTACGGCGGCCATCGGTGTTCACTGTTCCGGGAGATGACGCGGATGGCCAGGATGGACTCCTGTGAATTCTGGCTAACCCATGATGAGGAGTGGTTTGAGCGTGTACTCTGGAGTGACGAAAAGTGGTTTATTCTGCATCCGTCTCCAAACAAGAAGAACAACGTGTGCTGGTCGCCAGAGAATCCGAACAAGCTCGTGCCATGCAAGAAGGCCCAGGGGCAGAAGGTGATGGCGTGGGTGGGCGTGGTGGATGGGAAGTGCCTGCCAGTTCACTGGTTCACTGGCTCCGTCAACAGCGACGCCTACCTGGAGATGCTGCAGACGGTGGTGTGGCCTGCGGTGAGGGCTCGGGCGACGCGCCACCAGTACTGGTTCCAGCAGGACGGCGCGCCGCCGCACGTCACTGCTCCCGTGATGGACTTCCTCCACTCGAAGTTCGGCGGCCGCGTCATCTCCCGGAACAGTGAACACCGATGGCCGCCGTACAGTCCCGACCTGTCTTGTCTGGACTTTTGTTTCTGGTCATTGGTGACGGCTTAGATCGTGCGCAGCGAGCCCCAAACGCTGGAACAGCTGAAGGAACTGGTTGAGGACTTCGCCCGCAACATGGACGAAGAGCAGCTGCGAAAGATGGCGCGTCACACACGCCGTCGGGCTGAGCTGTGCCGCTCAGAAGGGGGTGGCCACTTTGAGCACCTGCTGTAGATGAACAGTGGCTTGCAGGTGTATAATAGTGTGCAGTACAAAATGTCCCACGATGACGAGTCTAATGACGTGTCTTTTGTCTGGTGTGCTATTGAATACACATCTGCACGTGCCACTTACTTTATCTCATTCCCAAATGATCACCCACATCAATTTTGCATCGTGCATAAAAATCAAGCAGAGGTCACCTGAGGTCAGGTCACAATGTCAT